CTTGGAAGATGCTCTTGAGATAGAATTTTAGAGAGACAGTAATTTACTTTTATTATGCCACCATCTTCTGGCTTCCACTGTTGCTAGTGAGAAGTTAACTCATTCTCTCACTCTTGTTCTTCGTAATATTCTTTTTGTCACTGACTACTTTGAAGATTTACTTTTGGTCTTTGATGATGTGTGGTTTTGCTTGAATTTGTCTAAGATGGATTTTTTGTTGGTCATCTTGTTTGGGATTTGTTAGGATTTCTGAATGAGAGCATTGGTTCCTTTTGTTAACTCTGAAATTTTCTCACTGTTTATCTCCTAAAATCTCTCTCTCTCCATTCTGTTATCTCTTCCTGGGCTCCAACTGAAATATACGTTCTTTCTCAGTCTTTGTTATCAGTGTTTCTCAGACTATTCGTGTGCAAACAGGTCACCCAGGAGTCTTGATTCTAAGGAGCAGGCTGGGAGGAAAGGTCTTCCCAGAGCCCTGCTACTGAGTGACTCAGTAGGAGAGGGTGCTGATGTACATGTTTAACCCCAGGGAAGGAGGACAGAGAAAGAAAGATTTAGCTCAACCAAATAATGGTGACAGTTAACCTGGTACTCCTATCTAATGTGAATGTTTGTAATAGCTCTGATCTGACTGCAGGTGGGCCATGGGCATCTCTCTACCACTTAGAGCTATTCAATCTGGAAAGAATAGAGACTGACGTGTGGCCATCAGCTGGTGGCCATGGAGTGCAGTGCTGGTTACTCTTTCTGTGCATTCATTATGAAATTTGAGTAGTAGCCTCAACACCACCTCCCCACAAAGCTGTAGAGACACTGAGAAAGTGGGAAGGGGAAACCCACATTTGCTCTTCATGTGTCCACAGTGAACTATGCAGGCCAACAGCTCCTGGGAAGATGTAACCATGCATTCTTCCACTGATTTACTTCCATTATAACTCATGTGTTGTTCAGTTTCCCCACATGTACTTTCTAATGGACAAGCTTCCTGGAAGATACTGATGCCCATATTACTTCCAGTTACTTAACATCCTCTGCTGAAATCAATCAGTGTGGGGAGTGAGCCTGCTCCTTCATTCACTGGCTCCTCAGCTCTGGGCAAGGGACCACTGAGAACTTCTACTCCTTGCAGGTGCAATTGGATAATGGTCCTGAAAGCTACTTCACACTGTTAGAAAGAAAGCTCAGGTAAGAAAGCAGAAGTGGCCAGTACTTTGTTGCTTCTAACACGTTGGTTTTGTTGTTGCTTGTGTTCAGCACCCTCTTTAAATGAGGGATATCAAGTCCAGGAGTGACGTAGAAACTGAAAACTAGAAATAAAGATCACACATGAGCGTATGCTTAAAGCTGACTAATTTCTTTCAGACAAAAACAATTTCTTCCTGGTGTAATCACATTAAAGTGGCTGAAATATCAGATGAGAGAGAGAATGCGACAGTCACTGCACTGTCTGTCCAGGCTTCAAGGCTCTCTGTATTCTGGAGTCTTCGCTGCCTGATGCCAAAGGCAGGACACAGGAAAGGGAGTGAGCAGCTCCTGAGACTAATGGGTAGCTGTCCTAGCACTCCTGCAGTCAGCAGCTGTGATTTCTCCCACCACCCCGCTGTGCCTCTCTGGAATGTACAAGAGCGATAAGCTTCCAGAAAGATTCAGGTAAAAGGATGCGAGAACCTGGACGGAAATTGGCAGCGGGGTGGGTGGAAGGTGTTGATGACTCTTAAGGGTAAATCAGAAAGCTTTCTTTAAAATTGGGCACAGAAAAAAATATGTATAACTTAGTTCTAGGTAAAGAAATATTCAGATCTAAGAAATATATTTTCTCTAAGTCTGATTCAGGTAAGATATTAAGATGCTAAAAAATGATTATGGTGTATGTGTCAGTCACAGTGGTTGAAATATTTAAATGGTGCATTCAGTTATATTATAAATCAGTATTTCCTGTAATTATTATATTTGGGTTCTAAAAAATGAAGCTTTAAAAATTACTACTGAATACTAACCTCAGATAAAAATTGCCTTACTAGCCACCATCACCTATGTCACCTAATATGTAGTCATTTTATTTTTGTTTTGAGTGGACTATAAGTGATTGTCCAAGTCTGCAACTCTCTGTGCCTAAAAAAAAAAAGCATTTATAAAAGTTCCTCCTAGTCTGGTCCCAATAGTTGCTCCCATTCTAAGCTGGTCTAGACAGCAGAACGTCCTGCACCAAAAGCCATTTCACAATAAGTAGCCACCTAGTCCACATCTCTATCAAACACAATGGGGCAGTTGTAGAGAGTTAGTTATGAGACAGTTCAAATGAACCTGGGGGGAAAACTGTCAAACTACCCACTTTTAAAAGAAACTGAGAAAATCATATAGAAAGAGCAAAACAACTGATTGACATAAAAATTAACCAACCAAACCAATCAAAACCCCTCACCCTCACAAAGGCGCCTGCGCCCACAAATGAACATTTTAGACCAGAGACATTTCTCTGTCAGCTCAGAGCCTGAACTAGGAAGGCAGTGGTTGTGAGACCATAGGCCTTTCAACAGTGGGCTTCTGCATCTGAGCACTGACCTTGATGCTTTTCACTAAGGGCCAGACTACTGTTGAGTTCTCCAGCTGTAAAAAGGTAAAAAAGCCAGGTCTTCAAACCTGTTGCTGCATACACACGCATTTCTTAGGGCACAAAGCCACCCTGCTCCGGGTTAAATGAAGGCTGTGCCACCCTAGAAACCAGGCCTCTTGGCTACATTCTGATCTCCTGTCCCCATTACAAGCATTCCATTAGAGGCTGTTGAACCTGCCCATTGCAGTGTCACCGACCCCACTTGGGCCCCCCCACACACCCTCTCCCTGCATGGCACTCCTGCACATGGGGCCTGGCCAGCCCTCTCTTAGGTGCTAATATCTACCACCCTCAGTCCCGTAGGCTGTGGGCTAAGACAATGCAGGACAGGTATCACCCATTTGGAGTCAGAAAGGCTCCTGGGATACAGGGTGGCTCCAACCAGCTGCTGGGGTCTCACTGGGTTCCCCTACTCTGATTTTCATGGGCAATGCCACTGACCTCCTGGAAATATGAGATATCAACTGTTTTTTTTTTTTTATCCTCACCCGAGGATATTTTTCCATTTTTTGTTCAGATAGAGAGGGAGGGAGGGAGGGAGGGAGGGAAAGAGGGAGGGAGAAAGGGAGAGAAAGAGAGAGAGAGAGAGAGAAACATTGATATGAAAGGGACACATCGAATGGCTGCCTCCCGCACGACCCAAATAGGGTTGAGGACAAACTACAACCGAGGTACGTGCCCTTAGCGGGAACCGAGCCCGGGTCTCTCTAGACCGCAGGCCGACACTCTAACCGCTGAGCCAAACCGGTCAGGGTGAGACATCAACTTTTTAAAAAAAAACTTCTGATGTTTCTTTCAAGATGACTGAGAAGGTCCACATCTTCACCCCCTCACCCACCCACCCACCACTGAGATCTGATTAAAATAAATTCATAGAAACGTGAAGAGCAACCCAAATAAAAGAGAATGGGGTATACGGAAAAATCACTGGCAGGGCCAGGTATCAGCACGTGTCCTCAAGGGGAAGGCTGAAATGGCAGTGGGCATCTGCAGTAGTGGACGTGGGCGGACAGGTGGGGGAACTGGAGTGACCCCCACCAACCACCTGATGAAGGAGAGCTGTGCCCCTTGCTCAGCTCCTATTTAACAAGTGGAGCCCTAACAGCATGTCTGGGCAGGAGGCAGATGGCTTCCCAGTGTGGAAAGGCAGGTGTGCCCACCACTGATTTAGAGTTTCACTGTCCTCACCACAGGGTTAAAACCAGGAACCATTAAAAATAGCCTTGGGGGTGTGACGGTGTGGAGGGACTTCTCTTCACCTCGTCCTCTATCATATAATTCCTATATGTGCTGATTAATAAGAGTTCTTTTTTTAAGAAGAAAAACCATTAGTATCTCTTTTTTACCCAATAGAAAATTTCCTTCAGTGGTAGTGAACTGATCTCTGTATCTCAAATACTTAGTGTTAGTTACTTCTTAAAAATCCTCACCTGCCCAATTCAAAGTGAAGGGTTTGCAGAAGACCCCAGCGCAGGCTCGCCGGCCTGATGGCACCTCCCTGCCAGAAACAGAGCCAGAGGAACTGAAGCTCTGCAAATGTGCAGGACAGTACAGAGAAGAAAAAGGCTTCTCAAAACTGGCTGCAGGTTTCCTCCACCTGCCCAAAGCAGGAAAACCGATGGTCTGCCTTGGCTCCTTTTTTCTTGTTTCCTCTCTCTTCTCTCCTTCCACACCCCATTTTTCCTGGCACCAGCTAGTGTCTCCCTCTTTATCTGCAGTATCCAAATCCAAGAGAAAGCCCTTTGCTCTCCATTGCTACTCCGTATCTCGCCCTGAGAACAGCATGTAGTTCCCTCAACTACCAGGCTACAGGAGTCCAGGATGCTACAACCCAAAGTGCATTCGGGATGTCTCTGATCTCCAGCACTGATGTTAACTCAAGAATGAAACCAAGGCCTGTCACCATTAGGCTTCATACACATGTAGACCCTGTTTCAACTAGGGCTTCAAAATGGGAGAGTGTAGCCTCCCTGGATGTTCTACTACTCTTTCTGACACATCTCAGACCTGCTTCAGATAGTATGCCACCTAATTTCTTAGGTGCTTATAAGACACTGCTATTCCTGCCCGTGGGGTGTGGGGTGGGCACCCGGGACAAGACAGTCCTGCAGTCACTGCCCGCCCAAGACCCCGTGTATGGAAAAAAGCCCCCACTGCAGCAACAATCAAAACAATTTGACATCAGGCCAAGTCCTCCACATGAGTAGAATTAGTGCTAAGAGGTTAAAGGTTATTTAAGGTCATATGGATACAACAGAGGTCAGGAACATTGAGAGAATGGCATTAATATTATTGCGTAATATTAATATTGTAGCAGTTCACAGCAGCATGCAGGTAGTAAATGGTAACAAGAAGAAGAGGGAAGGGAAACAAAGTGAAAACTCACATCTGGGTGCGGGATGGCATACTGTCCCTGGATCGTGTAGGCCTAGAGAGAGAAACAATGTCAGCTTAGGAAATAGCAGATCTCCCCTGCAGAACAGGCTTTCTCCTGGGTGGGACTTTCACGTGAACCTGCCCCAAGCCTTCTGGTTACAGCTGTCCTTCTTCCAGAGCACACCTCCACCTGCCCCAATCCTGTAGGACATCAGGGGAGAGACCTGGAGTCAAGCCTCGACAGCGCCCCTTGCTGGCTGGAGCTACAATCACACACATGAGACAGGGAGTTGCACCCCACTTCCTAGAGGCCTGCAGGAAGCCAAGTTAGCCGGGAGGGAGGGAAATGACTCATCCCTGAATACTTCTGACTCCCAAACCCCCAGTTTCTTAAAAGAAAATATCTAAGAATGATCTGACCCCTGTTGTTGTTTACTAATCATTAACCTATTGAAAATGTAATCAATCATATGAGTAAACACTTTTAGGAAATATTTACTCCAAGAAAACCAAACAAAACAAGAAACCTTTAAAAGATGATCCAAAACCAATTTTGCAAAAGCCAGATTAAGTAAGAAATGTACCCAAATCAGTCATCAGATTGATCAGTTCATCTTCTAGCCTCTGAAGATGGGGTGGCTGTTCTGACTTGGGGAGTAACACACTCATGGCATAACTCCCAGGGGGGCCAGGGTGGGTCCTGAGCCCTCATTTGGTTTCATAGTTTCACTGGCCTTTGAAACAGTGACTGGGACTAGCCACAGCAAGTATAGGGCCCCACAGCCTCTCCCACCCATCCCTACACAAACCCCACTGACAGGCAGAGTCCCCGCCCACCCCACCTGCCTCAACAGTCCATCAACTAAGAAACTCATGGCCAAAAAACAAACTTCCAGAAACTCGTGGCCAAAAACAAACCACACAGAAACAAGGGAGAGTAAAGACCAAAGACTTGCCATCAGGCCTTGGTGACATGGAATGTGCACACCAGTCCCAGGCCAGCCACACTCGAACTTGCAGGCATGGGATGACTCAGGTGTGGAGGGACATGGCTTCTAGAACCCAGCCATGGGGCTCCCCCATGTCATGTCCTAAGTGCACACCTGATGTTCACCGACATGGGTTCCTGTGAATCTGGGAGGGAAACCTCAAGCCCATTCAAGAGTCACTTCCATGGATCCCAAACCGAGGGTGGTTTCCAAGGTTCTACCAAATGGCAGGTTTTGCATCTGCTAAGTTTTCATCATAAACAGCCCAGCCCGGAGTTAAAGACCAGCTATCTATTGGACAGGGACCATGGGAGGAGAGGCCCCAGTCTGGAACTTCACAGGAAGTAAAGGAATCTTATCAGATAGAGCAAATGTCTTGGGGGAAAGACAGTGGACCACTGCTTGTGCTTGTGTTATGAGTCCACAAGAGCTGTGTCCACACCTCACTTTCAGGGTTTTTGGAGGTGCAACCAGTCCATGGTCTAATGTGTTACCAATCAATGCTGCCCCCACAAAGCTTGCTGCACTGCAACCCTGCATATCTGAGTGGAACTGCAAATGTATCCCAACAGGGCAGGTCTTTGCTCCAATATCTTAAGTTTCTGACTCATCTTCCCTTCATTTAGAAGCTGTGGTCTTCAGCTCTGTTTAAACTGTGTGTGCAGCTGACCGTCTCCTCTAAAGAAAGGTAGAGGCAGACAGACAGATCAAATGTTGGGTTGAGATGAAACTTGTATCATCTATAATCAGCTGAAGTGCCACTCCGCTCTGTAGCAGAGTGCCTACCAGGCAAGTGTGCACTCCTCTGCCCCCGAGACCTCCAGGGCTGTGTCATGACCAAAGGCAGGCCACCCTCAGGGAGGGGTGTCTTCACACAGGTAAGTCAGGGTGAGTTTCTCAGGCCACACATCTCTAAAGTCCAGGTTTGTAGTATGTCCTATGTGGGCAGTGTGGAGTCTGAATTTGGAGGAGACCCCTTGCTGCATTAGGTCTCATTTACACCCTCATTTTGGAGTCTGTACTGTGGCTCCTCCGCCTCATTACCTGCATTGTATTGGTAACTCTCATGTGACTTCGTACCCCCACAGATGACCAGGACTAGCCACTGGCTGGACCAGACTGTTCTAAGGGCACAGGTACCGAGTTAAGATGCTGATAGCTTGGCGACAGCCTTGGGACAGATGCTGATGATGGTGGTGACTGAGAGGTGCACCTACTGCCCTTGCTTTATAGATCGGAAAATGAGATGAATGGTAGGGTACTGAACACAGCCTACCCCAGCCAGGGTTTCCTGGCCCCCGTTTGTGTTAATATTAATGTGCTTCCCTTTTGATTAAGTCCCGCACTTCACTGAGTGGTATGATCATGGGTTTGTTCCCACCTAAGGGTCAAGACCACCCAGGTAACTAACCAGCTAGCTAACTGCAACTGTGGGGGAGGAAGAAAACAGATTCCTGAACAAGATCTGCTCTGACTCCCTCACCCCACTCCTCAAGGTTGGTGAGGAGAGGTTCTCAGGTCCTGGCCTCTGGACCTCCCTTTCCAGCCTGGGACTGTTGTAGGAGGATGTACGAGTGTGAAGGTTCCTGGCAAAGGTCAGTGACATTGGGAGACAGAGTGAATTGGGCTGGGGAAGAGAGAGATGCCTCAAATGTGGACATCTGTGGGGCCTGCAGTATCTGGACGGGGAAACGGGGGGAAACAAGTGGGAGCTGCTGTGTCCCTCAAATGCTATAAAAGATGTAGAAACAGAGGCCTTGTCCTGCACCTAACATATGAGTCAATCTTGAAAATCAGATAAGATTCCTTTACCTAGTAAAGAAAAACATGGAGGAATTTATTATTTACCTCTTTCTTTTTTAATGATAAAGTAGAATGTCATGAACGTTCTCCCCTGACCTAGATCCTCTGTGGTAAGTCTGTCTTAACTCTCCCTCGAACAAAGACACATGTCACTACTGACTGGACGCAGAGCTCCTCCAGGCACCACTGGCCAGGTGTTTTCAAATCCATCATCTACTGTGGCTGAGCGATCCTGAGGTGAGCGGAACACACCTGCTCCTGCTCAGATGCCTCTGGGCACAGCTCCCTCTACTTAACTCTCTCTAGACCCTACCAAGTTAACTGCTGGCCTTGCATACAATATCTCTGTGAACCCTGGCCCTTCCTGGTAGGAGAGCAAGGAGGGCAGTGGCTCCAGCCAAAACAACAGGTGTGTAGTGGACGTTCCCAGCATGCTGTAATCGAAGTTGGGAACATGTGTTTCAGGGGAAAATGAGACCCTACCTTTTACAGTCCTAGTTGTTTTAACCAGGATTCATAAAAGTTACTTGTATAATGTTCCTTACCCTCCTATCTAAGCTTTTTAAAGACACCTGAGAACTAGACTTGAGCAGGTGCAGCCCAGGCAGAACTGGTGTGAGCATGGAACCAGGGTCTTCCTGTGCCAGGTCAGGGAGATGTTTCTGCGGCCCAGACTCCACAGGGTACCCGCCCTTTCTTTCTGCTGGATACCACCCAGCCCAACCTTTCTCACATGGCAGCCCATGTCTACCCCACTGTCCACTGCTGGTGCCTGGCAGTGGACCGGGAGAGCTCTGTGTCCAGCACTCAAGGGGTGGGAGACGTGCACGTGAGAAGGGAGAAAACCTGAGTGCACTAACGGGCAGCGGCGGGGGCTGCAGTAAAAGGCTGAGGTTGGCAGTGGAGGCCGCGAGCGGGTCGGCTCTTACCTGACCACCTGCAAAAATGACAGGGGTGGAGGCGGGCTTTGGGCGGTAGGGAATGGTGGCACCTTTCGGTGGGGACTAGGAAAAGGGACAGGAGAGGAAGAGAGAACGTTAGACAATCTTGCAGCATGACAATTGTGAGGATGGGGAGGTTTCCTTCCTTAGCCCGCCCACCACTGTACCCAACCTGCCCCAGTCCCCAGGCCTGCAGTGCCAGAGGGGTAGGAGGATGCCCGGGGTGGCTGGGCACCTGTCCAAAACCATGCCCTCACCACCCCAGGTTCTTCCAGGTCACCATCCTCCTCCTCTTGACTACGACCCTAATCGCCCCACATGGTGCCAATCACTCCAGCAGAATGGTGAGGAGTATGAGTCTGAGAATGGGGTAAGAAGGAAAGACTTGACCCTGTCCTTGCCTATGGGACCCCCCCATGCTGCACAGACAGCCAGAGAGCTTCTTCCAGGCCTGGGTACTATTGCTCCACATGTGTGTTAGCCCAGGGTTGTCCTGAGAGAAAAACTCTCCCTTTCTTTTGGATCCTCGAGAAGAAGAGTCTGTGCGTAGCTCTACCATGAGCACTACAGGCCCAGTGCCCCAAAGGCTTTGCTTGGCCTGTAGTGATGTCCAATTGACATCATCACAGCAAAGTTAGAAACATTCAATTTCACTATTTAAGAAAGGAACCATTAAAAAAAAAAGGCTTAGAGTCCAAACAAAATATTCCACAGTCACGATGAGGTCTGGTATAATTTCCTTTGATTATTCTGTGTCCAAAAATATAGGATTCTTATCTTCTGGTGAATGATATTCTCAAATACCAGAAGTCTGCCAGATTCTAATAAAGCCAAGCCTTCCTTGTCCTTCTGGTGGGCAGTCTTACCTGGTTGCAGGGGCCACAGGCCAGGCCTGGTGATTGAGTTGGGAATTCTGAATCAGTGGTACCACTAGCCAGAGGCAGAGGGAGTGGGGCCAGGAAAGCCTGTCTCTGGCTGGGAGTTCTGGAGGCCATGGCCCATACAGGCCCAGGCTACAACCTGGCCAGTTGGTGTGACATCAGAGTGCCACCACCCAAGACAGAGCCATGTGGGGACAGTAGAGTGGGTAGCAGCTTCAACTCTACAGCCTAGGCCACATCATGAGCTTGAGCAGATTGTGTGACCCTCCTTCGTCATGCTGTGTGACCTTGGCTGTACTGTTCGACTTTGGTCATGTGTGACCCTGGTCATGCTGTATGACCTCACCATGAAGTGGGAGGGGTGCTGAGAGGGCCTGTGAACTGACCCCGGCTGGTGTCTAGAGTTCAGTATTTCTGCAGTTATGACTGAAGGAATGGCCGTTTTCACTGCTTCAAGCAGAGGACTCAGTGTGGCTGCTGCTCCCATCCCTGAGCTGAGCATCGTGCTACTCACGCCATTACTCAGTCCAACACCCCTGCTCCATGGTGTTCTGACCTCACCAATGGCAACATCTGCAATTCCGACACTGTGAGCTCTTCCAGGCCATAATGCGGATTCTGGCTTGGGATTCCTGATTCCCAACTTCCTCTGATGGAGGAGAGGCCCTCTGAGTACAGCCCACTGTCTCGTTCCACCCTGGGAAAGGTGCAGCTGTGTGTGGTTCTCCACAGGTCTCCACCCAACTCGCCCACACTGACGGGCAACCCTCTCGGTGGTGATTTTAAGGGTGTGAGGCCCACCCCGTAGCCAAGCCTGGAAATCCTCTGGTCTTCTGCTCTATTTGTTCAGTTATTCTTCACTTAGAAACAGACCCAACTGTTTCCAGGAGTGATGAAGCTTCCTCCCCAGGTAGGACACTGCTCCCGACTTCTGAGAACTTCAAGATACCAACAAGAACAAGGCGTTACCTCAGTCCAATGTTTATCATTCATATTTGCCACAAGTACTTCACCATTCACTGTCCACATAGCCCCCAGCCATTGGGAAAGAGACAGGGCAGTTCCAACCATGGCCCAAGGGGGTACCAGTGCTCCATAGTCAATGAGGGTAATGCCTGCTTCTGGGGGCTGCCTGACCACAAACGTGGTACAAACGATGCCACTTGGGAGGAGTTCTGAGGAGACCACGAGTTCTGTTCTAACCATTGATCAGGGACGTGGGCGGCTGTGTCAATACTGGAAGTGTTCATATCACTTTGTCATCCTGAGGTGCCCACTGCTGCACTCAGAGTTCCAGGCCTGTCAACACTGGCCATGTGGCCCCTCCGGAGCCCCAGCGGCTGGGGACTAAAGGAAACATGGCCAGGTTGTAGTTGTCACTACAACCAGTGGTTGGGAAAATTCAGAACATTTAGAAACATATTTTTGACTTCACAAAACATCACACTTCAAGAAAATAAAACTATACAAATATTTTAAAGAGTTGGACATGGGCTTTAACATCCAGCCAAGTAAAAAAGAGAGATAAACCCAGAGCTGCCAGCGAGGCTTCAGTTCCCATGATTGCTGTGGCGGTCACTCGAGCAGATCCTCAGGCCCAGGGACCATGAGCATGGGAGCAGAGGAGGGACCAGGGAACTTGGCCACCAGCACAACTGTCGGAACCTTTCATTTGTGACAGGATGATGTCATTTTAGCTTAAAGAAAGACAGATAACTATTGATTGCCTCAATGACTCTGTTGCATTTTGGGTATTAGTTGTAATGTAAATCTCAGGTTTTTTCCAACAATTTCAAGAAAGGCTTTGTCTTGCTCAGCTATACCTTCTTTGCTCCTCCTTTGGCTTTTAATCCTTTTGTTTACTTTTCTGTCTTTACAATTCGGGCATTTTCATGTGCTTTTCCTAAGACCTGCCCCTTGTACATTGGTGGGGCTCAGATGCCTTCAGCTGGCCCAAAGTGAGAGTCTTGCCCACAGCCAGCAGCCTTTCCACCTCCAGTCCCCATTTTCAGTACAATCCCATCTCTGATGCAGACCCAGACCCCTTTCCAGCACAGACACAGAATCCTCTCCAGTGCAGAAACGTCTCCAGTGCAGACTCATCTCCAGAGCAGACATATCTTCAATGCAGACTTGCACTGTGTTTAAGGCCCAATCCTCTACTAAAGGACCCTCACATCATGGACTAATAGCTCTTCATCCAGTTCTAGAAATAAAGGGAGGGACATGTGCCTCCCCACGTGTTCTCTCCCCTGATATCCCAGTGAAGATGATGACAGACCTGCCCTAAAGGGGGCAGGCACCAGCACTGTCCCTCTCATGGTGCCCAGCATGGCTTTCACTCAGGTGGCCTTGGGCCTGGATCAGGGACCTGGGTCACATTTCTGACACCCAGCTCCCACAGAGCCCTGACCTTGTGAATCCTCAAGGCCCCTGAGGCACCAAAGCCTTTTCCACCGCTGACACTAAGAAGCCACAGCCAGCATGGACCAAGGGCAGGCCAGTCACGAGCACAGATGCAGAGATTGTACCTCCAGCATGACCACACAGATCTGCTTGACACACTGGATGATGGCATCGGGAGTCCCTGAGATGGTCACTGCCCGCTCTGTGGAGTTGGGCAACATATCCCCAGCCACCTGGACCTGGGCACCTGTGGACTGGAGAAACCAGATGTTGAAAGGGGCATGGCAGAGAGAGGAGGAGGCAGTGAGTGCTGTAGTAGCACTTCCTGGATTCTCTCGAGGGTATGCCCAGGGCACAGCGCATTGAGAGGCCACCCTGACATTACCCCCATGTCGCCCCCTCCATGCTGGCTGACCTGGGAATCCAGGCCCTCTGCATATGCCTTTGGGGAGCCCCTGTGGGCAGGTCTCATCTGTCTCAGCCTCCTGTTTCCCAGCACAAAGCTGGTGTGGGGGAGAGCATCGCTGCCTAGGAGGTGTTTTAAGTGGTGGACAGGCATTTTCAGGAGACGAAGATGGAAAGGGAGATATTTTTTCAAATATGTGTAGTTATAACTCCGCTGTGGAGTTTTAGGTCACAGAGAAAGATGGATTCTAGATGGGCCTAAACTCTGTGGCCTCTTCTGTTAAAGAAATGAAGACTAGGTGGCCGCTCTCCTTCTGAGAGGGAAGGATCAGGCTTTCCTTGAAATGAATGAACAAGTGACTATAGAGTCCACAGCTCCTGCCAACACCATCCCAGCTGGGCTGGCTCCCGTTCTTCCAGTAAAATGGGGGCAGAGACCAGAAGCCCCGTGTGTGGGGCCTCCATGCCCCACAGCCACATGACTGGGGCAGAGTACTATAATTTGCTCTGTCCCAGGAGGCCACTGCCTATCCCTGGTCAAGGCATATACTCCTCCTTGCAGTGCCCAGCACCTCTGCACATGCCTTCTTACCCACCCAGTGGCTCAGCACCCACCGGGCTAGGAAGGGTCCTGTTACCTCCCTGATCTCCTTGATCTTGGAGCCGCCTTTGCCAATCAGAGAGCCACACTGGCTGGCAGGGACCACCAACCTCAGCGTCACCGGGGGCTTGCTGGTGGCAGGGCTGTTGCTCATGGAGTTGATGATGTCCTGGGGATGGAGGAAGGTGTGCATGTTGGCTGACAGCCCGTGTGTGAACACCAAGAGTGCAGATGTGAGGCTGTGCTCCGAGCCCTTGACTGCCAGGGGGCAGGGAGCATAGGCCAGAGACACCAGTGGAGAGGGCCCTTCTCTAAGAAGCTCTCAGTCCACGAGGAAGAGGACCAGTGTAGAGATGCATGCACTAGATGAAGGAGCACACACCCTGGAAAATGGCCAAGTGTAAAGAGAGAGGGCACAGCAGCCAGGCTGGACTGATTACAGAGACTTGAAGGCCAAGTCAGGCTCAGAAGAACAAGGAGAGAGTAGTGGGATGGACAGAAGGGGACCCACAGAGACATGTGTCAGAGTGGCCATGTGTTGCTATGGACAGGGCAGGGTGCAGATGGGAGGGCGCCTGGACTCAAGGTCTGACATTTGTCCTTAGGGCCTGGCAGAGCATGGGGGCTTTGGACAGACAGGGTGACACATTTGTGACAGAAAAATGTATTCTCCAGCTTGATCACCCTCTGAATAAAAACATGAAATGTATCTCTAAATAATTTTTGGCAATTTCAAAATAATTAAAAACACATAAAAACTTTAAGATGTGACTCACTGACACAAATGCACAGGCATTCACATGTGCCCACAGGGGATTCACTCCTTCATCTGTGTCCCTTTATCTGTCCATGGGGTTGGCCAGCTGCTATGGAGAGGGCTGAGGCCAGACGTGCTGGCCAGGGCCTGAGGACATGTCAGTGAGATGGGCATGAGCACCTGCTGACCTGACAAGGAAGACACTGGCCCACTACCAGGTGGACCAGAGCAGGGAGAGTCCTAGGAGGCAAAGGAAGAGACGAGCTGAGTGGGCTGGGCCATGACCTTGTCTAGACACAGGGGAAGAGGTACCTAAGAACTGGCTGGGACCAGCCCTGTGCATCGCCTATCCTGAGTGGGTACATCTTACCTCCTCAAACTTATAGGCGATCATAGCAAAGGCCTTGAAGATGGCATCAGTCGGACCTGTGATGGTCACAATTCTTTCTGGGCAGTTTCCCTCCGAGATGTTGATCCGGGCACCACTCTAGAAGGAAGTTGAGCAAACCCCAGAAACTGGATTAAAGCCGCAGGGCCAGTGATGAGTTGGCTTCTTCCCCAACAAAAACTGATGCAAACATATCCACCAGTTGGCCCCTGGTGGGCAAAGTTTGGCACAAAACAGTAAAATTCTTCCCAGTACTGTCCTCTGTGGTGAGATTTTAATTAGAGAAAAGACCCAAGTGACGGTAAGGATGCATTGTGCCCACAGCAGCTTCTACAGGAACTGCTGGGGGGGGGGGGGGTGTTGATGGGGGGGGGGTGTTGATGGGGGGGGGGACTCCATGCTGCTGTGTGCCCCTCCTCCAGCCCATCACAGACAGGACGCAGCTGGTGCACGCAATCTTACCTCTTCGCGCATCTTTTTCACAGTTTCTCCTTTCTGGAATAAAGATTTAGACAACAGGAAGAAGGGTCACTCAGAGGTCCACTATAGGCAAACAGAAGGTTTGATGCAACAGCATGAGGTGCCAGTAGCTCCCTGCACCCCAGTGCCCCGAGGCGAGCAGGCAGCAGTTCCTCAGAAGGCAGGGCTCCCTACCAGGTGCTGTCTAGTGCCTGACACACATCATGACTCACTGAGCCCTCAGTATACCTGACATGTAAACCCATAGAGGAGGAAACCCAGGAGCTCACCAAGGGACACATGGTTATCAGGGCAGATGGACTAAGACCCGGAGACCTAACTGGGCACCACACTTGGCCAGGACACTTACTCCATGGAGTGGAGACAGGAATACACCCAGGTCACAATTTCCTCACAGGCAAAGCGGGACCAGGCCCATGGGGGTGAGGGTGGGGAGATCCCCTGAGGCACATATGGAAAGAGCTGGACTTTAAACACTGGAGGTATCCCCACTGCATAGGGACCACTTGGGATACCAGGGACCCTGAGGTGGTCAAAATGGGACCAACAGGAGGGCGGTGCCTCAACTGTGACCTCTCCTACAGGCATGGGCTCCACATTGACTCTGACTTTTCCCTGGGAATTTTCATTCTGAAATGAAAATGCAATGATACTCACAATCATGCACAGAGGTAGGTGACTGCTCTAAAAAATGGAAGTAAAGGAATTCTTACTGTGCTCTCACACCCAGGAGGAAGGTCTGGCTACTAGGGAGGAGGGAGGTGGGGGGCGGGAGGCGGGGCTGCTGAGTGACCAGCTGGGAGCCAGTGAACAGGATTCTCTCAGACCATCCTCATAGTGGTTGGACTTGAGAGTGAGAGTCTTGGGATTCCCCTGGGATCCTCAATGCATGGAGATGCTGCCTCCTGTGCCCCCCCCCCACCTCCCCTGCCCAAGCACAGAAACCCCAACAGAGACAGTTTGCTTAATAATTACCTTCCCGATGATGCTCCCAACTTCCTGTAGGAAAAACCACAGACAGCTGACATCATATAGCAGAAAGAAAAAAGCCCTTGTGACAGACACTGTTATGAGTGAGAAAAAGACATTTAGATGGTCATGAGAGGGCTTGTAGGCCTGGAGGGTCCCTCTGCTCCTATCTGACCATCGCTGACTCTGGTCCTGCTTCTGACTGACAGACAGCCAAGCAAAGGAGAATGGCCAGCTGCTTTCCAGCTAAACAGGTCGGGAGACACACCTTTGCACTTAAGGATTCAAGGAAACCCTGTAAGAAATAGATGAAAAATAAAATCTCCCTTGATTTTGTGATATAAAGAAAAGTTAGCACTGCCTTTGATACTCAACTTTCTAAAAAGATAGAACAGTTCAGCCAGTGTGGATCAGTGATTGAGCGTCGATCCATGCACCAAGAGGTCGCTGATTGATTCCCGATCAGGGCACATGCCCTGGTTGTGGGCCCAATCCCCAGTTGGGGGCATGTAGGAGGCAGCCAATCAATCTTCTCTCTCTTCGATGTTTCTATCTCTCCCTCCCTCTCCCTGTCTCTCTTTCTAAAAATCAATTAAAAAAAAATTTTTTTTTAAATAAATAAAAAGTTAGAACATTCAAAGACACCCTTGAACTCATCACTACAGTTCTAAGGCCTGGAGCCTGTGACAGTTTGGATATGTGGTCCCGGCCAGGCCTGCTCATCATAGTACCTCCCTGCCTGGGGCAGACCCACATGGTGCTACCGTGCATCTCATGGAGGCAGATCCAGCCCACTTCTAACTGCAGACAACAACATGTTTCAAAATAAAAATTGTTCTTATCACAACAAAGTCCTCAGCAATTATGTTTCCACTAGGCCATGGGGAGGGGATGTATAGTAGGAACTGGGGCAGCAAAGAGCAACTGGGCACAAAGTAGTGACCCCTCTGGTGGTGGGTCAGGGACCTCACCTCCCATGGGCAGGGTTTGGTGCTTGTTATGGGGGCTGCAGCTGGAGGTGGAGGCTATATAGTTGACTCCACAGTCTGCCTGCCGTGGTACACACCCAGTTTCCACACCTTTGACCAAATGCCACCCCCAGCCAAGGGAAGGGAACACTGGTGGTCATTTCTTTTTTTTTTTTTTTTTTTTTTATCCTCACCCGAGGACATTTTTCCATTTTTTGTTCAGGTAGAGTGGTGGTCATTTCTTTATCACAGAAAGGGATGCTCTCAGTGTGAGTAACCCCCTCCTGGAAATCTAGGGTGGGCAAAGCCACAGGCATGAGGCCAGAGCCTTTGCCAGCCTAAGAGGCAGGCTTCTCACAGCACAAACATGGGACAGTGGAGGAGCTAGGTTGGACCCTGTGCCATTGGATTGGAATTGGGAATATGAACTGCTGGGAACCAATCTAGAGAAAGCAATATGTAAATAAATAAGCAAATGTGTATATGTATGTGATAATACAACATTCACACATGTACACATACATACATAGGCACATATGTACGTTTCCCAGCTCTGTCTGGAACCCACAACAGACCAAGGGGTGATGATCACCCCACGTGCCCTGATCTGGGCCTCAAATACTCCCCTCAAAGAAGTTAGAATTCTGCCCTGGCCAGTTTGGCTCAGTGGTTGGAGCGTCGGCCTGCGGACCAGAGAGTCCCGGGTTTGGTTCCCCCTAGGGGCACGTACCAAAAAAAAAAAAAAGAAGTTAGAATTCTTTGGAGAAATGACTGATTCCAGGACTGTGGCAGGGAAAGCACAAGATAAGTCATGAGCAGCATTTTGAGCCAGAAACCAGGCAGTGCTGTAAAAATGATGGGCCCCATCAAAGGGATGTAAAAGCCAGCCTGGAGGGGCCCCCATTGGCCAAATGATGAACAATTTGAGCATTAAAATAAATAATGACAGCCTTCACTGGTTTGGCTCAGTGGTTAAAGCATCGGCATGCGGATCAAAGAATCATGGGTTCGATTCTGGCCAAGGGCACGTACCTCGGTTGCGGTTCATCCCCGGCCCTGGTTGGGGTCATGCAGGAGGCGACCAGTTGATGTGTCTCTCTCATGTCAATGTTTCTCTCTCTCTCTCCCCCTCCTTCCCTCCCTCCCCTCCACTCTATCTAAAGATAAATTTTAAAAATATCCTTGGGTGAAGATTTACAAATAAAAATAAATAATGACAGAATGGGGAATAATTTGAATAAAACAACAAACCCTGAGTTCATCCAGACATTAACAAGTGGAAGAACAAGTGCAACTGAAATCCGGCTGACTAATGGGGTATTTACATAGCATCTATGTAACAGTGGAAGAAAAGCAGCTCTAGGCAGAGACACCTGGCAGGTATCTCTCTAACTAGGTGATTGGTAATGGGACACTGAAATCTGGGCCACCTGATAGGAAAGCTTCTGTGACTTTCCTGCAAACAGTGAGGAAACATGAGAAAAAGCCAATGTGAGGGACATTCTACAAAAGAGCTGGACAGAAATGTTCAAAGGTGAAAGGCCAAGAACGACCAGGGCAAGTCCTCCAGGTTGAAAGAGGCTGGAGACATGATAAAAACATGGAGTGAGAGGCCACCTCGGAGTGCCCTATTAGAAAAGGCAGTGTTGGGATGATAAGGACCATGAATGGAGTCTGTGGTCAGGTAGCCAGAACAGATCAGCATCACTATCCTGACTTGATGGTGCAGGTAGTGATGGAGGAGAACGCCCATGCACATAGGAAATACACACTAAGGTACTCGGCAATAGGGCATCAGCTTGGCAACTTATTAGTTTTGAATGGTTCCAGGAGTCAAATGTACTTTAGGCTGGACTTCTCCTGTTCTGTAAGTCTGAGATTACCTAGAATTTTAAAAAGCATAATACAAAACAAAGGCCCTAGCCATCGGGGTGGGGGTTGGACCTCCTTCCTCCCAGCTGGTCTGATGCCTTCTGAGAAGAGTGACAAAGGCAGGGCTTGCGCTTCTGTACCTTTCCATGCATGAGTAGGCGGATTGTCAGGGTCACATTCAGGCCACCTTCTGAGACCTTGGACTCCATCCTTCTCCCAAAATGCGGCTGGGGGTGGTGGCTTAAGGTGCCAAGGGTGCCGTGAGGAAGGACAGATGGGGCCCAGATGGTGTCACCTGGAAAGAGAAGGCACAGCTGCTGCTAACTGAGAACATCAATGGCCAATGCGCTGGGGGATGTCCTGCCTCTGGAGGAGGAACAGGCTGCTGGTGAGAGGCAGAGTTTCAAGAAAAGGCTTCCTGGGGCATCAGTGGAATGACCTACTGGGGCATGGGGTACAAGGCAGTGGGAGGATGGGCCTCAGGAAAGCCCTCCGGGGATAGAGCCAGCTCCACTGCTCAAGTAAATGTGTGACAAATGCAGGTCATCAAGCCCTCTGGCCTCAGTTTCCTCCTCTGTAAAAAGGAACAGCTCTCTTAGCTGCTGGAGGGGAAGCAGGGTCACCCTGTAAGCCCTGGGGCCCTTGTGTGCATCCAGCGAGTGCCTGCTCTGCTGTGAGGTTACTTCTGCTGTGAGGTTAGTTCTGCCCATTCCCTTCACATTGGTGCCAGGATCCCTGGCCTCCTGCTGCGACTCCCTTTACCCTTAAAAAGTCAGGAAAGTTCAGGTATTGGTGTGCCCTTGACATCTAAAGTTGAGATTCCTTGATAATCCTCACTTCTAAGTGGATTTCGTCCCTATCAACTAAACTGCCAAATAGCTGAATATCCCCCTTTATAAGTTTTCAGAAAATGCTTTACACCCCCCTATCATTGGTCCGTTTGCAGTATACTTTCTGAAGATGGCTGGCTCAGTGCTTAGCCCACCAGGCAAAGTGAAGGCTCTACTTTGTGAGTTACAGGCAAGGAGTGATTGCAGGCAGTGAGCCTCCAGGACTGGAGGGAGGGGCACAAGGTGCCTCCAGGCCATGTAGTGGTGCTCAGGCCCTTGGGACTTAGCCTGAATGGGTGAAGGATGGAGAACGGTGTCCAAGCAGTGACCTGAGCCCTCCACCCAGGTCTGCAGGGTCCTGGCCTCAGCCCCTTCTCTGGGAAGATCTGGGTCCTTCTCTGGGCTGCATTCTGAAGGCAGGTAGGTGACCCTCACAGAGCAGCCTCACGAGACAGGTATCAGCAAGAATTTGAAGCAAGGTCAGGTGAGGGCTGGAGTGAACAGTGGGGACTCAGATCAGGCAGAGAGAGGTCTAGGAGAACCAGGCATGCACAGCCAGATATTGGAGCGGGGCTGGGGTGCACCACACCCAGACTCTAGGGCTGGGAGGTGTTACTTCACTCTGAGGGCAGGGTTCATGAGTGAGTGGTATCGGTGTAGCTTTTCTAGGAGTTTAAGCAGGCAGTCTCTGGGCTCCTGTATGTGCAGTGCACAAATTGAGGGGGAAGCTGGAAAGCCACCTGCCTGGGTACACAGGAACATGACAGGGTGTGGGGGTGCCGGGGGTGTGTACAGGGACACTGCAAGGTGCATGGGTTAGGGAGCATGTGGGTGCAGACACATCATGGGGGTCTCACATTAACAAGGGGAAATGTGGGCATGGGTGGCCTTCAAAGGAGCAGGGTACAGGGACCATAGGGATCTGACCAAAGAATGTCTTTGTTGGACAGAAAGGGAAGGAAGGGCTGGCTGAGGAAAAATTTCACATGACCCATGGCGCAGGTCTGGGCCCAGGCATTCCACGAGAGGCCCAGGAGGGGCCCTGGGCTGACCCTGCAGGACAGCATGACAGGCCTCTAGGAGCTGCCACCTGCCCAGGTGCATAACTGAGAGTGTGCCAAGACAATGAAGGATGAGGCTTTGGAAGCCCTGAGAGGAATCAAGGGCTGTTTCTGTGAGAGTTCCTCACTCACTATGCCACATTCGATCCCTTCACTAATGACAATGTCACATTGCCTGCATGGCTGCCCAAATCCTGCAGGAACAAAAGCCCTGTGAAACTTGCATGCACCCACAGGCTGTCTGGACATTGGCTCTGTGATGTAACTTGTAAAGATGAGAGGCTCTGTCCACGCAGGAGAGACTACAGGTTAAAGAAGCAAGCTTTTCCTTTAAACTTACAGGTTTTTTATTAGGCAAAAAAATTGTTTTTTCCTCATCAAAATATTTTTGGCCCTGGCTCTCTCTCTCATATCGATGTTTCTCTCTCTCTCTTCCCCCGTCTCCCTCTCGCTCTATCTGAAGATAAATGAAAAAAAAAAAGTCCTCGGGTGAGAATAAAAAAAAAAAGTCTGCTAAAAAATACGCTATAATGAAAATACAAAAATAAAGCACAGAATCAGTGTACGTCCTATCACCTATGTGACGTGTAGGGGACACTTGCAAAGGGCAGTCATGGGCATAGGTAAAATGACAGCTACTAATTCCATTTCTGTATTAATAAGCAGTCACATTAAAAAATATATTTACAGGCAAGTTCAACACACTCCAACTATTCTAATTATGAATAATTAGAACATTAAAATAGCAAAAGTTTTAACATGAAAATCATATAATACATAGCAAAAGAATTTTAAAAATCATCCTTCCATATGAATGTCCTCTATCCTCACTGTCCAGTATAGTAGCCACTAACCACAAATGGTTATTTATATTTAACATAAAATTCACTAGCCACACTTAAGTGTTAAGCAAACAGACTCGTGTGGCTGCCGGCTGCATATGGAGGAGCAGACAGAGAGCATTCTCTGTACCGCAGGCCGACGCTCTAACCGCTGAGCCAAACCGGCCAGGGCGAGACAGAGAGCATTCTATCACCCAGAGAGTTCTGGTGAACAGTGCAGTACATATGAACAGTCAGGAGAAAAGACCTCAGAAAGGAGACAAGGCTCTAGTTCCAGTGACTGATGTGGCATTAGATAAAAGCACTCCTTCCTACCAAGGGGCCCTGCAGCAGGCCCTTTCGACTCCAGTATGGGGCAGGCTGAGTTCCCAGCACCCATAAACTGGATCTCGTTGTGCCAGGCAGGGGCACCCACCTTCTTTTTAATTAGAAACACTTGCTCCTATGTCTGGGGAACAGCAGGGCCCTGCGGCCATCTGTTATGTAAATGTTTCCAGCCCATGGTGGAGAAAGTAGGTCAGTGGGTGCTGCAGGCTCTGGGCTGTCAACTGCTATCAGTCACACAGGCCAGTGAGCTGCTGCTGCATAGGCCAGCACCTTCCTTCTTCACACACCAAGAGTGCATGTCACAGTGCTCTCTGCAGACTGGTGGGAACAAGAAGCAATCCAGGGTAGTGGTTAGTGTCATCTGTGACTCAGTACCCTTTACCCAGAAGAACCCACCTTGTGCCAACTGGCAAGCAGAGCCAGCCAGCAAGTGGCTTCCCCAGAATTATGGGCCTCTCAGGGGGCACAGAGTCATCCTCTGGCTGTCCTGCCAGGCCCCATGACACCTGTTCATTCCAGGCAGTCCCAAGAGTGGCCAGGCCTTGCTTCCACCTCAGGGGCCACTGCTACCTGGGAACACACAGGAGCAAGTGGGGGAAACAAAGGGAAGCAAATGGACTTCTGCGGTCACAGTCACCCAAAAAAGTCAGATGGATGTTCCACAAATTGGCAGATTTCTTTCACCAGCGAGGATCCCTCCTTCTCTTTAGTGCTGGTGATTTCATATCTTTTTAATTCATTTAATGGGAGGAAAAGAAGCAAGCCTGGTCCCCCTATACAGCCTGGGAGGAGCCCTCCCCTTCTTGTCCATTTGCACTCACCCATCGGAGGAACCCCATCCCAAGTCTGTGGTTTAAACACTGCTTTGTGCTGACACCATCTATAGATATGCCTTAGCCCTGAACACTCCCACACCCGACTCCCACACCACCACAATTTCTAACAGATACCCACATTTCACATGTGCAACTGTCCAGGCTCCCCAGTTGTCTGTCTCAGCACTCCTGCCATCCAACTGCTCAGGCCTGAACACTACACACACACACGCACGCACGCACGCACGCACGCACGCACACACGCACACAGCCACACACATGCAGCACTTCCCTTCTCTGCCCCCATTTCATTCATTAGCAAAATCCTGACACATGGATGCAGGTTTTAACATATTCATCTTTTTTCCCAGTTTCTTAAGAAGCTGATGGAATAAATTTAAAAACCTTCCCAGTTCCTTAAGAAGCTGATGGCATTAATTTAAAAACCTTACTTCTTGCCTGTTGTTCTATAAATTTCTCTCTACATATGACTTCAGTTGCATTCCACAAGTTTAATATTTGTGTTTTTCATTCACTCATTTCAAAATACTTTCGTATTTCCCTTTTGATTCCTTTTCTGATTCATGAAATATTTGGAAGTGTTATTGAGTTTTCAACTGTTTGGAGCTTTTCGGGATATCTTTCTTTTGTTGATCTCTAATTTAATTCCATTATGGTTAAAGAACATATTTTATAATCCTTGAGATAGTTCAAATGTATGGAGACTCACTTATGGGTCAGAGTGTGGTCCATCTTTGTAAATGTGTTCTTGTGCTAAGGGTGGAAAGTTATATCAATTAGAGCAGTTGGATGGCAATACTGTCCAAGTTTGCCATGGTCTTATGATTTTCTGCCTGTTTGTTCTATCAACTGAGAGAGGGGTGTGTTGAAATCTCTGCTGTAATTGTGGATCTGTCCGCTCTGTCATTAGCATCATAATGTTTGGCATTGTCTGTTCTGTTGATGCACTAATTCCTTTATCATTTTGAAAGATCATTTTTATCTCTGGTAGTATTCTTGGCTTGGAAATTTACTTTGTGTTATTAACATAGCTGCACCAGCTTTCTTTTGGTTACCGTTTGCATGGTCGATTTTCTTTTGTCTTTTGTTTTCAACTTCTTTGTGTCTGTGTATTTAAGTGAGCTTCTTGTAGGCAGCATACACTTAGACTTGCTTTCCTTTTTATCTAATCTGACAATCTGCCTCTTAATGGGCCATTTAGATTATTTTTAGTGGTTGCTGATATGGCTGAGTTTAAACTGATCATTCTATTTGTTTTCTATTTTTACCATCTGTTCTTTGTTCCCCATTTCTATTGTGTTTTTTTCCTCTGCCATCTTTTGGATTAAATGTAGGCATTTTATGATGTCACTTTACTTCTTGTGTCTATTTATTAGTTACAACTCTTTGTTTTGTTATC